CCTCCACAAACTACCGAGGTAGCGGGCTAAGAATCTTGAAAGTTACCTTGGCTGCGCCCGAAAAGGTTGCAGTGGCAATTTGAGCACAGCATGACCACAGGGAACTTGGGCCACCAAAAGTACGGTTAAGACCATTTCTTCAATTAGTACAGAATTCAAATACACATGAGCCTGCCTCTGTTGTACCTACTTCAGAACAGCCAACCGTGCAAACAGCCGTTTCATAAACCTTTAGCAGACCGGCAATATTGCTGAAGGTCACCCACAGCAAACCGATCTCCCAATGCATCAAGAAATGCAATGCTGCTACACCAAAAATCAAAGTTGTATTCTAAGCTTTTAGAACTGCGCCTTCGGTTGAAACAACAACTTGGGATCATATAGCATTTACTGAAACGTCGCTTTCAAACGACATACTTGATCCAGAGATTGAATTCAGTAAGATGTCATTCATTCGGTATGATCGCTCAGCTTGCGGTAGCAGTGTTGCTCTTTAGTATCAAGAGTATTAGAAATGCAAGGCCCTTAACGAAAATCCCCTTGTTATTTCTGACGCACTATTTTGCCGACTGCATCTAGCAGGTCAACTATTGGTTCACGGGAGAAGAATGATGCGTGCCTCTTAGCAGTTATCTATAAGCCTCCGAACTCATCAATAGACAGCGCTAATATTCTGTTAAACGCCCACCGCTATGCTGTTTCACAAAAGTACTTTCACTATCTTATAACGGGCAACTTTAATGTTCCTTCAATACCATCAACGTTGTTTAATGGGCCATTAATTAAATCGAAGCTCCTTGAATTCATGGATATCGTAGTTTTGTATAACTGTATGCATCGACCAAACAGAAACCGCGGTTCAAATAAGTCATCACACCTGGAGTTAATCCAAAATAATAAAGAGTTATGGTGGTCCCATTAGCATACGATCCACTATTGGACCGTAGCGATTATTGAGTCCTAAAGTTTAATTATGTGACTTACAACCGTATTGTTGATAAAGGAAGACCGACTCAACAAACTATATTGGACTATTTTAGGCTGAACAACTTCGCGACCACGGTTGACTTGGACCTACGGAATCACAGTTCAGCGAATGACGAGTGGCATGAATTGAAAGACAACATTAATTGGGTCATACAATCAGAACCGAAGGTTGCACCATTACAAGCATGGCGCCAAACCAATAAATGATTCCGTAGCAGAAAACGTTAATGGATCAACAAAAGAGATGAAATCTGTAGGCAACATTCGTTAAGCTCATGTATTATTATATTGTCGAGTTAGAAAGCAATCAGAAACTACTGCACGTCGCCTATTGGAGTCGCTATTTACAGATGGCAGAAGAATAAGGTGCCGAAATATACGACTATTATCAAACTACTATACCGATTTGTGAATGGTAAAAGAAAGTTTAAGCCCGGAATATCACAACTTAAGACGGCAAGTGGTCTAACAACTGCTGCTGTGGATGCCGCGAACGATCTACTTATGCATTTTGATTTGGTGGCTACAAATGCCACGGAACCTTTGCTCTATCAACACCTAACAAAGGTCGTTGGCTTATTAAGCGCCACCTTTACTCCAGCAGTTGTTGTAAGAAAATTACAGTCTCCCTGGGAGCACAGTGCCCCTGGATTCGATATGATCTGCCAAAGTATTGAAACCCTTTTAACCACTATAGTAGCACAACTTGCAACCATTTTTCAGGGTTTGTTTGACGGCCATAAACTCCCATCTGCGTGAGAAATTGGAATTGGCAAACCAATATGCAAAGGAGATAAGCGGTTGGCTCCTGTCAACTAACGACCTATTACTCTCCTTCCTGTTTTATCAAAAATTGGAATGGTTAATCGCAGGTTAACTGATGCGATACTTTGAAAGTCAACAAATAATTTCTAAAGCCCAACAAGATTTCAGACGCAGACAATTTTTTTTCGTTAACTTGCCGATTACTCGGTAATCATGGACCAAGGCGGCTGATTAAGGAGTCCACATAGACGTGATTTACTTGCATTTTTCTAATTTATTTGCGAGGGTCAATTCTTCCTTTCTCCTCCAAAAGCTTGCTGTCTACGATATTGACGGCTCAGTGCTCACCTGGTTAGAAAACTACTTACACGACAGAGCAATCTGGGTGAGAGTAGCCGGCACTCAATTTGCAAGCCTGTGCGTCTTTAGTGGTGCACCAAAAGGATCCGTCCTCTGCCCCTTACTGGTATTAGTCTACATTAATGATCTTTCAGTAGACATTCTATCACCGATGCAAATATTTGCAGACGATGCTAAATATGGAGAGCAATTTGCTGAGCATCCAACTGTGCCTACCTCCAGGAGGAACTGACTGGGATTAACGAATGGGCAGAAAAGAACCGCGCACAAACACACTATGCACGTTAGCTAGAGGTGGGAAACACCTCAGCTCCTGTGCGGCAAGAAATAAAAGAAAAAAGGGAATAAAATTCAAGAGGTGCAAGCCAGCTGAGCTATAGGTAACGAAGGAACATCGTTCCGGTAAGCTATTTGCCGGCTAGTATAAGGCAGAAAAAGTAATTGCCCATGCAAATTTATAAACTGCTAAATAATGAGATTCTGGTTGGAGCGGTAGGCTAAGAGGGATGCGGTGGGACAAAGAAACAGCAAGAAAGCCACTGAGGTCGCCTTCTAGCCATTTCATCAAGTGTATCCAGCCAAACGTGCTCATGTTCTTTCGGACCCCAACTAGGAAGCCGATAAGCTCCAACTGAGGCCAGGTTCGAAGTTAAGAACCTGCTCTCGCAGAACCCTACGAAGTGCCACCTGCTGACCGTGTGCAACAGTTGCATCAACAAATACATTTTGGGCAACACGTCCTTTAACAAGTTACTGGTGAACGCGACTTAGTCGTAATAGTGCAAGAGAGTCGTGGCAATTCGCTTCATGTTCAAATACGCAAGTGTGGCGAACTTGAACTCGAGACTTTCAAGTCGAGCCCTCGGCACGTTTGAGCAAAGGCTAGTAACAAATTTAATTAACTCTTATATTCGACCTCACACTGAATATTCAATTCAGGCCTGGTGTCCATAATTAAAACGAGACATTCATCTATTGGATCAACCACAAAGAAGAGCCATAAAAGCAACGTGTTTACTATCAGGTCTCATTTACGAACTGCCTCTATGTGTACTCGGTGTGGACTAATCAGAATACCGACGGCTATCCGGAGGCCTTATTCGCACACACCGGATACCAACTGAAAGCCAGCATCCATGTACATCACTTCTGACTTCAGCCTATTGCAAACAAAGCCGAGGCAACTGCCAGAAACTAATGAAGCAATAATCCTGTCTGAATTGTAGAAATTATTTTTACTCACTTATAATCTGTTCTCACTGGACTGCATTACCAAGATATATGGTGAACGCACCGGACATGAGGATATTCGTAACACACTTAGAGTTTCATTTAGTGATATGCCCTACAAAACAATTTGCTAATGTGCAATTGTTTAACCTTTGATAATTCACGTACCACGTTGAAACAACGTGATTTCAAATTTCTTTTACATATCCATCCGGTGGGTTTTGTAAAGTTATGCTTTTTTATCCTACCATACACTAATCAACCATTGAACTATTGAACAAATATATGAGTAAAGCGATAAAGTTGCACAAATGGGTTATTTCCGTTTCCTCCCCCATAAAATTTAAAGACCGAAATTTCGCTAGTCAAAGCTATATCACACCAAAAACGCACGTACTTTGTCTCGCTAGAACATTTGAAAACCTACTTTTATTTTTATCAACTTACGAATCACTTTGAAAATGCGTGCTGAACTGTGACCACATTTGATATTATATACCCCAGAACCCATATTCGTGCGTTAAAACTGGTTGCACACAGCTATTATCTATCAGAAGTCGCGAGGTATGAAGTGTTCGGTTTACCATAGGATAGCCTTAACAACTGTGATATAGTATTACTATTCATCCGCACTTGTCTGCAGTGCCAACTGCTGGATGATACGGAAAATTTAACGTGTGCTTACCTTGTTGATGTCTGCTGCTGAGACGCAACGACACTTGACTTAAGACGCCTGGTTATAATACATTAATATCTACCACTTAAATAAACTTGGTGAAAGGTTGAGCGACGACAATGCTGTCGTGTCAAATTTTCAAATGATTCCAGTGTTCACGGCCTAGAATATCCGGCATCACCAGAGCGATACTAAAGGTAAACCTTCAACTGGCATTTCACTCGTAGGAGAAGTAGTTCCTCCGTTGAAATCAGCGTTAAATAATCCAGTTGTGATATATTCGGTGCACTTAAATGAAGAGTTCATAAACAAAACTCCAATAACAGTGAGTTCCCTGGGGCAAAATTTACGCGTCATCTTAATACAAACATATGTTAGTTTTGTAAAGTATACTCAGGAACGCTTTAGCTTGACAAGTGGAAGCAAAAATTCTGAAATATTGACTGACTCGTTAAAGAAGCTACTAGAAAATGATACTGTAAATGATGATGTCTAGGTGAAATTTACGTGCCACTTGCATCCACATTGGAAATCAGACTACTTTGTACAGTAACGTAACCCGAAAACACGTAGTGGTAAGATTTGTTGCTTAGCTTGCGTACGTAACAAATTATAGTCGGGACAAGTCGAGCAAATATGCAGTGTAACTTATCCAATATACCACCATTGACTGTGAGGAAATCACTATACCAAGTGAGCTTTACGCAATGATTTTTTACTAATTACATACTTCTATAGATAAAGCGGACAACGTGCGTTACCGCCATTTAGCTCAGTAAACGCATGTGTTGAAACATTCCTTTTTTATTCTTACAGCACGCAACAACCTGCCATATAATAATGCAATATTTAATTCAAGCACCAATTATTGTGCTAAGTTGTAATAGATAAGGAGATAAAAACAGAAATATAATCACTATATGAATAAGATAAATTAATGGTCAATGTGACGGGATGCAATTATAATTTTTTTTAAACATACCGATCCCACGGTGCACTGTCGTAGCTTACCATAACAAGGAAAAATTCGCAAACTGTTTTAATTTCTTATTCCATTAATATGAATATGAATGGTAATTATATAACTTAATGGCGTGAAACATTCGTAGTTTTTTACTGAGTGAAATGTCAAATACACCAATCTATATAGGCGATGCGTTAATTTGGCAAATTTGGAATTTTATCTGCGTTATTGTTTTGTGTAACTTTGCTCTTCATATTTTTCTGCAGTCCTTGACACTAATTAGTAACCGCGGCTTTAGTCGTGGACGCAACGTCACCCGTCTTTCAGTAAGTAAGTTGAAGTACATTTTCATGGCCGCTACGCAGGTACGGCATAATTAAGGTTTTGTACACCGCTGAATTTACTTGAATTTAGCTGCCGGCGTTAGTAGAGTGGGCTAGCGCTTAAATCTAAAAATGGCGTGTGATTTACTACCAAACACCTTGTCGATAGCAGGATCTCAAGTCATCTTTTTCACAGAATGTAAAAACCGTTTGAGGGCGAAATGAATTAGGTATCAGTATTCGTGCCTATTGGATAATGTACCTTCGCTTTATTGTTTAAAAGCAATATGGGCCCTAACAAATTTGCTTTGGTTTTGTTTTCCTAAAACCTCAAGGAAACACTTCCATCCTAACGCAGATGGCCTACTTGCAACATTAAAATGGATAAATATAAATAAATTTTTCAGCAATACATAATAATACTGTCAGTGAAATTTAATTTAATTTATTATTATATTAATCAATTAAGTAAATTAAATTTAATCTGAAATCATTAATGGCACCTTGTGACATCACAGTTTTACCCACATGATGTACGCTAGCAGCCACATACCTCAAGTGCATGGGTGACTGCGTACGTGGGTAACGCTACCCTTACTCTACTTGTCGTGGCTATCATTTCGGTCATTGGTCAAAGCAGTGTCGGCGTCAGCAAACTCAGTTTACACCTAATGCTTGACTATTTCTATGTCTAAAGCTACTCTGCATAAGTTGCAGATAAAACTGCAGTGTAACGCAAGCCTAAAGCAATACTTTTATGCTAAACAAACGAGAATGCTCATTACCTAGATGAAATCATCAACAATTAGCAACCTTAATCTAAAACCACTATTAATTAAGGTTATATTTATAAATGAAGACAACAATAACTTCTAAACTAGTGTTAACATAATGTGCACCTTGGTTAGGTTCGGCCCATTGTAATGCAGTGTTCCTAGGTTGCAGAAAAAGTTTACTCAAGAAAGGTGCGTCTATCGGGGTTATCGAACACATATTCCTGCTTACTAGACATCTAGACTGTAGTGTGTTTGGAGTAGGGTTTATTAGGTGCTTTGCATCCAACAACACCTGCTTACTGATATAAGAGTAGATATCCCCCACTGAAAATGAAAAGCAAATGTTTCAGCTATGGATGCAGTTAATTATATATAATTAAGTATGTTTATGCTAAAGCGAAATCAAAACGGTGGTTCGTAAAATGTTAGTTTTCCATTCAGCATCATCAACCGAAAATAAACTGAATTATACTCTTTTCATACGTACTGGTCGTCGGTTTCTTGTTCTTTGCAACAGCTTGTAACTGCTTTCTGTCTCTATTTATTATGGCATTGGAATCTCAGCCCAAACACACGTTTTTGATTACCATGCGAGCGATCCTCTGCTACCGCAATCTCATGCTACCATGTATAATACTTCACCTCGGGTGGCGCAATGTTGTCGGCGAAGAATGCAGCATATGATGCACATGGAGCTTGCCTAGTTAGCTGTGAGAATGAGAGTTCTTTTCGCGAAATTCCACAGTAATTTCCTCAAAGTGCTTTTGCTCATGAAGACTGCTGAGCAGATGATATGCTATGCTGAACTCCGCCAAAAGGAAGAATACTCAGACTTTTTAATGGTGGTGCATGTATTCACGTTGTAGCCTATGACAAAATTGCTGGATGGTAGTCCTGACACTGTCATCGCACAGACAATAGATATAATGCAGAGCTGGCAAAAGCACTTAGACTCTCTATTGAACAACCGTTCAGAGATTGACTGACCATTGTTGCAGGATTACAAAACACAAACGATAAATGTCTTGTCGACACCCAGACGGTGCAAAAGAATTTGGCAAGCTTCGAAACAAAAATTCACCAAACCCAACGGTATACCGTTCAAAGTTTGAAACATGGCGAATTCACAAAGATAAATGCGTTGCATCAATTAATGCAACGCTTGTAGCTTCAAGCAAAAGTGTTGGCCGAGATGAAGCATACCTATGTGTTACCACCGTACAAGAAAAAAATGATGCATGTAACCTTGCACGAACTATTGTGTTCTCCGCTAGCTGAGTTGTGAACAAGTTTATCACTAACTACCTGCTCATCTGCCTCGCAAATGAACTCGTTAAATCACAATTAGCGGAAGAAAGATGCAGGTTCTTTTCAAGCCGTAACACTATGAATTTGGGGTTTGCAACCCATCAGGTGCAGGAGAATTGCCGAGAGCGACAACAGTTATTTTACTCGCCATTTGTTTGACTTACCAAGGCATTTAGCACGGTAAACCAGGTGGCATTGTGGCTGGCTTTAATTAATTTTAGCTGCTGCGGGCGTGTGTACCTTTAATTTTAACGTCAACACAGTGTCAAACTAGCGAGGGTGCAGCTGCGTGGACCGAATTCGGATGACAGTTTCCTGTCTATACTGTCCATGTCTTGCTTAATGGTTGTCATTTGCTGAGCTTACGTCTAGTTTCGGTGAGAACAGGAGTTTGTCAGACAATGCTTTTATAAATTGCAGCACACATGTTTAGCTACGGGGATCACCAGCAACCACTTAAAACTACTGATTGTTATCATCTTTCAGAAGTGGAATCCTTAGGTCTGTCTTAAATAAATACTAGCGACGACGTATTTGATTCCACTTGCAGTTTTGTTATCTAGGCGGAGTAATATCTACCCCCTGCAGTTAAGGAACCGTTGCGCATGCGCATTTCGACTGCGGCTATCACATGCGGAAAGGTGTAAATTTGAGTGTGGAACAATCGCTGGCTCACTGCTGCGTCGGTGCCCTAGGTATATAACTTCATGGCGATATCAGTTATTCTATAAAGATGTAAAATAAAGACAATAAAGTAGATGGACCCAGGTTATCTGAAATCTTTGCGTCAAGAATGCATACGGAGTAATCTACGCAACGGCTGCGGTGAACAAATTGCAGACATGGAGTGTTGCGACTCATTTTCTTTTATGCGTTGGACTCCATGCGTATAATAAAGCGCCTGAGGTGGATCAGGTATATCAGCATTATCGATTCGAAAAGGATACGGAAACAGATGCACCATGGCCAAATGCTTGCAGGAAAGTGGCACGCGGAGAACCAGTTTCGTTAGCAGGAATGGATTACGCTACGTTTCGTGCATATAAATGTGATTTCTTGGGTTGGGAGAAGCTGGCTCTTTATGGGCTCTGATCCTGAGAACATATCAAGAAGGCTGTTGCGCAGGTGCACTAAAAATCACAACAGCATATGAAAAGGAACGTCAAATAGTGACGCGGCAAGCGCCGATGTTTGATAGTCTGTTTACCTCCAGCGCTTTGTGCTGTAGGACAAACGGCCTTACGCGCCTCAGCTGATCTAGATTATCAAGCCAACATTGTTGCTATGCTAGACAAATTGTCGAAAGGCGTATAATTAGTTGATTAGGAAATGATCGTCAGCGCAGAAATATCTAAGTACGGTGTCTCTGGTGGAATTCCTTTTAGTAACCTAAGCCTATGAGGCGGTTTATGTGGCAAGTTTGCTGCATCAAGACTGTAGTTGATTTATACGCGTAGATGTGGATTTGACTCATGATTTCCCATCTTACCTGTAGTTTGACATCCCGATTTCGCTGCGGTTGATGCGCCTAACTCGCTAGCATATTCCACCTTGACTACTGGCCACATGTGACTGCAGATGTTCGCCGGGGAAAGGTATGCACGGTAAGGTTAACCATAACGGTTGAAAGATTGGTTCCATCCCGTGTGGAGCAGACCACGACCACGCTAAGGTCATACATATGCCTCGTAAGAAGAATTCCTTAATTCCACTGACGGATTGTTGCAGCTGTGCAATTTGAAAGGGTGTACGCCGGCTCCGTGAGCGTAATTTGATTTCCGTCCGCTTGTATCACGATCTCGTTCTTTCTGGTCTTCATTGGAAATGGGGGGCATGGATGTAATTATGTGTGTTGCAGTACGAGCTACCCATTTTCATTTCCAAATGGTGCTTATGCAGGTCATGCCGTCATTAGACATTTTTCACGAATATATTGCATGCTAGCCTGTACTGAAACAGGTAAGGTACTATCGCGTGCATAGCTCCCCTGGTGTGGACAGCATTCGTCCAAAAAGTTGGAAAATGCTGCAATGAATTTTGATGAAGCGATATTAATATTCTTTCAGCGATATCTTATCGATGTGTGCGTCAAAACGATGCGGAAGCCCAGGATGCTCATTGTAATATACAAAGTCTTAACCGTTTGGGACCAACAACTTATCGTTTCCTAATCTCCAATAAAATAGACTTCATAGTAGATGAATCCCTAGTCAAGTACTTGTTGAGTAACGTTATACTCGGTCATGAATAGCTTGCTTTCGCATAAGCATATCTTGTTACAAAAACCTGCTGCTAGCTCGTGCATGCTTACGGGAATCGGTGGGTGCTTATGAAAGACTAGGTTGTGTCTACCTTAATTATTGCGTCATTCTACTGTATGGAACACAGCATTCAGTGTCGTAATATCTGGAATTATGGAATTAACCAGCCTGCTTTTGGCTCTATCTGGAATTTTCAGTTCAGCTCCATACTTAATTGGGTGTTCGCAGCTCACTGCTGGGACGCATGGGATTCCATCGCGGTATACTTTATGGCTCGGTATTACGGCCACGCCTGTTCCTGATCTTCATCAATGGTCTCGCAAGCGCACTGTGTTCAAAGTATCTAATAATTACCAATGATCTAAAAATTTGGCAAACTATCGTTTCAGTGGATGCTCACACAGCCCTACAGGATGATCTGGACAAAACGCACATACGGTCTAACAACATGTTGCAGTTCAACACCACTAAGTGTAAAATACTCAGTATACACCATCAAGTTACTCACAACATCCGCCTAGGGCTAACATTCTACAGCGGCACCTCATAAGTACCACCTTGGCGTGTTCTTTCGAAATACGATTTCGGTTTTATGCAACGGAATAAAAATCAAACAAGGAATGCAGACCTGCACTCTGATCTTCTTCGTTGAGCCTTCAGCAACTTTGACAACTCAAGCTTCCCTAAAATGCTTGGCGCTTACGTAAAGCTGCAAGCGAATTACGCTAAAACGGTGTAGCGGACCATTTGCGGGTCCAGCGGACCATCGCACAATAGAGCCTTAAGTTTAACAAAACCAAATGTGCAAGTCTATTCTGAAGTTTATTCAAAATATAACATTAAGGAGGCATTAGTACAGCCGACTAAAATGTAGGCTAAGTGCTCTCTCCCTCCGACTTTTACAGCATTGCACAACAAAAAGAGTGGCTTGAAATCCCTCGTAACCACTAGGCAAGAATACTCGCGCATGTGTCACCCCAAACCCCGTGGTGAGCCTGTATCACAAACGGAATTTTTAAAACCGATCTTTTTATTTAGAATTTCTCCATTTTTACTTTACAAGGTATGTCGGGCTGTCCACTTTATAGCAGTCATAAAACATTGTCGCATTGCTCTGTGAATCTACTTAGGCATCTTGTGCTTGTCTTATAAATAACACAATAAGAAAGAAATCCCAAATCGGATGCTGCGAGCACTATATACTCTCAAACGTTTTGGCTGTATCTTTTGAGCTACATTGTAGTTCTAATGGAATTACTATTATGGTCATTCCCCTACTGTACTAAAACAATGTTCAATAAATAAATCTATAAAATGTTTACTGTGCAAGTGACTTTGACTGGTCTCACTGACCCTGATTTCAACTTTTGTTCAGAAACAGCTTTGTTCTTAAAAGTTTGTATATACATTTCTAGTGCACAAAATGTCAGTCTGATAAAGGGTAAAACAACACTCACAGTAGCTTTAACTATAAAAAGAAAGGCTGCCAAATCCCTTGCATTTTTCTGACACAGAAAATGCTAACCAACCTACGTAAACCTCACAATTCACATATCAGGTTGATGAAATGGAATGAAAGCAGTTCGCAAAAAGACGATGAAAGCTGTAGAGACAACTGCAAACTAGGATGTTAAGAACAGGGATTGTTGTTAGGCTGCAAATAACTAGTAATTTTGGAGCACCTGGTCTAAACGGATAGCAAATTTAAGAGTCAATTTATCAGCACTTGGCCCTAGTGACGGAATTAATAATCCGATAGCAGACGAACTCATCAGTGTTTGACCAGTTGCCAAGACAATATATAGGATTTAATATTGGAAGACTCCAGCCAGCGAAAAACAATTTCCCCACAATAAAAGGTCGCCTTGAATCCAACGTACAGGCTAAGAATTAATATAAAAATTCTATAAGGGGAGCTATGCTAAGGCAATCGCGCAGATCACCATATAATTTAAATTTATGCAGTCAAAATCAACACCTATATTGTATGAGTATACATACATGTAGATGATCAGCTGCGCATGAGTAAAATCAGTACACATTTTAGAAATCCAACGCCTTTAATCCGTAGAATATTGCTTTAAAAATATGGCTTGCAAACAACAATTTATGGGCGAGGCTAATAAAAGCTTAGTGGCGATGGACAAAGGAGAATAAGTTAAAAGTAATAAAATAAAGCCTTGCCAGATCACTGAATACGGTTTTCCTAGGTTGTTAGCTTACCTTTTGCTTCCGGTAATATACAAAACTTTGCAATTATACAGCAGTCAACAATACCCAAAGCATGTGCACAACATTTGCATTATCTCACCTCAGTGAAATTACCCGATGTTAACTTACTTAAAGCTAACAGCTGCTGATCGTGGTAATCTGTGAGCAGAGAAATTGCAACAAACGTGTTCTGTGAGTTCAACCTGTACTAAATATAATAAATAGTTTTGGATAAAATAACTATGCATTTGCATATCTGATACTATAAATTTGCGAGTTTGGAAAGGTCTGGAATTGATGCTCCAAAACGTTAACATCTGAATGCATTTTTTATACCAATTAGCATTAATTTCATTAAAAATGTACATTTTCCTACCAACATCCGATTGTATTTAAAAAGCATGTTCTAAATTACTACTAACGCGTGTAGCGTAAACAAGGGCGATGATTAAGTCATTGAAAGCCAGCATAGAGCGCTTGTTGTGAATAATTGTATCAAAGGTTACTTTGAAGTTATATGTTATTAATAGATGAAAAGCGGCGAGGTAAATAACCTTAGTTGTAGGGGTTGAATCACCAACGACAAATCAGAATCGAATTTGATATGAAAGCATAATTACATGTATTTTTTACATTGTAAAGTATACACGTATATGTATTACGTCTGCGTCCGCAATTTACGTTTGCTAACTCAAATGTATACGTTTACACTCTTTTTGTTTCTAACTGTAAACTCGCCAAGACAATATGATTGTTTCACGCTCCGATTTACTCCCCGACCTGAAGGGTTTCTTTGCGAAGGTCTTATCACTTACCTAGGTGACTTCTGTCTTGCGCGCCAGGACAACTGAATGAATCGTCAAAATTGATTATTGGATGAGTGATGTATAAACTGGACCACTACGCTTCATTTTCCGTGACCGACGCTATTTCGTGGTTCGGTTAGCGCTTTTTTTATTTGCATACGTTGAATGACCCATCTGAATTCTGTCCTTCACAGTTGATGGTAAACCGGATCTAAGTGAATGTGCAAATGCATTGAATTTGCCATGGAGAAATTCACCTCTAAGTGTTCCAGTACTTCTTTCATTCCCTACACTCAAGTGTTTAAAGTTTGTATATTTCTCATTCCTTTGCAGTAGAGATGCACAGTTGATTCGGTAGAATTTTGATTAATAATATCCCGCACAAAAATTAACTGCATATTATTGCGTGCATCTTAGTCTCCAGCTTTTGCGATATACTAACGTTTTGTTTAATGCGTAAAGGAAACTGGCTACCACTACGGATTTCTCCAACAATTACCATCTCTGCTTACGAGTAATTGCAATGGGCAAATTGGAATATCATATGAGTCCGTATTTTATTTTATTTATAATTAATTAATATGAATCAATATCAGAAATCATTTCAGGGTAAAGAATTCTTTTCGGTAAATCTCATCAGACCCAAACTTTTACATAACAGTGATTGTGGATATAGCGTCAACTGGGGCTGGGATTGACTTCTTGACTGTTTGAATGACCAAAATCGATAACTTGAGACAGAGATAGAGATGGTAGACCAAGTAAACTAAATAAACATATGTACACAATTCTCATTAATACAAGGTAATTAAGTAGGTAAGATGACGTCCAAATAACTAAGTAACGGTGTCCGTTGGCTAAGGTAGTAATATCGGCCGTATAAATCGTTTTTGGACACATAATTTCGGCTTTAGATGTTGAATGTACATAGCCTCGGCGATGGCTAAGAGCTGTTTGCGGAATCCTTGGGAGAAGTGTTCAGGTAATGAGTAAACGACTTTGAAGTCATTCTCCGAAGCTGTATGGCCACATTCAAGGAGGTGCGACATGATAGAGCTGTCTGAAGACCTCATTTCGCCTCTGTAAAACCATGCCGGGATGTGTTCACGAACCCTCTGAGATAGGCGTCTCGTCGTGCGACCCACGTATCGTGCACCACAGGAGCACGAGTACTGATAAATGATCATTGAACGGGTCAATGGCGGTAGTCTATCCTTCAAGGGTTTTTTAAGCAACGGCTTATTGTGAAAAACGATTCTCAGGCGGGCCGCGAAAAATAATTAATTACTTTAAACCTCGATACTGATTGGCGAACAAAACAGGGCTTTCATTACATACGCTTATAAAGGCTATATTAGGCCAACTGCCATGCTTATTTAGTGAAGTAGTAATATTAGCAGCAGAATGTATTGATATTATCCCGAGTAAGGCCACCAGGCTAAACATTGATTAAACGCTCCTCTAACACCCTTTGAATAACCTTGACAATGGAATTTGGTACATGGTTTGCCTTATCAAATGTTATCAACCTTATCAGATGCACAGCAGTGCAGTACGTTGATACCCTGATTAAAGAGAAATTTTATAATACGTAAATGTCTAAATTAAATACAGATGGACGCTTTTAAAAGCATTACACAAAATATGTTTACCTTAAGCTACTTTTGCACTTTAGACAGAAATATGCATATAAAAGCTTAGCAAATAAATTATAGGATAGCTTGCTGCGAAATAATTCCAGCTTTTCTACTCCGTAGGCTACTGATTCATCACGTCGCGATAATGCAATTTTACTTAGAGCAGTCCTATTACTTCTGCTTAAATTTAGCTCATACCAGGAAGCATTCTACAAAAGCAGCGGAGGTGCATTTTATGCCACAATGGTTAGCTGATAGGGTAATATATTTCCATATGCACACGTTCGCTTTGCCGTCCCATAAATCCATCCATACATATACAGCTTGCAGTTAGACAATTTTCCTTGAACCCTAGATAGTGAACACGTGCACCAATACATGTACGCACGTATGCCGTACTTGCACTTGAAGGTAAATAGTAAACAACCGTTAATACTTTTACCGGTTTACTTTTATGGACTGATCCTGCTATAATCATACCTTATTTTTCGCAGAAATAGGTGAGGATCAAATTGTACACATGCATCACTGAGATAACATTGACGCAGTTGTGCAGGTAGCGTCCACCAGGATTCATCCAAAACGCTACACCGGATAAACGTACTGATAATAAGGCAGTAGAAATAACGTTACAGGATGCCATACATTTTATCTCTCAAAAGAATGTGTTGCTGCGGGCACTAGGAAGCATTGAGATAGGATGATGGAAAATATGTTACAGCAACTGGGGTTAGGTTTTGCATAATGCGCCGCGAACATTGGAAATAACTGGTGTTTCAGTTAAATTAATTACGTCAGAGAGACGTGCACCTAATGCCACAAACTAGATATATCTTATAACTAGCTACTTCGGACTACCAATAATCTTGATTCACTTGTTTCACCGTCTTACCAGACGAGCACGTCAAATCTGCTCAGAATGCATGCTAAACGGGGAACTGACGTTCAAACAGAAGGTGCTGCGTGAAAATTGCTTCCCTGATAGATTTATTCCAAGTAACCTTGGGGAAATACCTCAATAGGTGACAGTGTCAACCGCGACAAAGTAAGGGCTATTCCTGCGACTACCTTTCAAATGGAATTCAATTACAAAGCGTTTAACCCGAAGTATTCGGGCGCAAGAAAGTAGTTCTTTGCAGCTGCTACACTAAAGTGCGTGTTTCTGATGTAACCACTTGTCCGTTCACTAAACAAATGTAGTTACCCATGGTGACCGACTCAATTGGTATTAATCAGTTCGTGAGCGCCTGTAACGCAACGTACTTTGATCGAGCGGCGCGGCAATTGTCCAAACGCGTGAAAGAACATCGCCCACGTTGGTTGCGTCAAGGTGGCATCGGGTCCAATAGTAGTTCTCTTTGGGTACATATTTTCAACAGTGACCATCAGGTAGATCTGAAGCGTGCCTTTAAAGTTATATACAAGCTTTCACCGCACCTAGCAAAAGAGCAACGCCTCCGTGCACGTGTGTCGGTTGAAGCAGTTTACATGTGATCATTTTAACCGTTCTTATGCTCGCAAAAGAAGCTAGTGCAGGCTATACAGCGTAACTGGCCCGAGAGTACAGGGGATACTTAGGTCAACGACATGAGGTGGAACTACGTAAAATGTAATTAACTCGGATGTTTTTCATTCGGTTTACTTTTACTAAATGATCGGTTTTACATTTCCCAATGTTAGCCCTAAATTTGATTGTATTGGCCTGATAATGAAATATTGAAAGCAATTGCTCACCAAATGGCCTCTATGTTCTCATTAAAATATTTATGGTTATTCAAGTTACTTAAATCTAATCTCCTTGCTTTCGCATATTTGATACTGAGATGTCAATAATTAGGTATATTCCTTGGGGGCCATACATATATCCATTACAACTACTAGTATAACTTACACACATGGAGGTTGTACTCATTTCTCACTATATGTTTGAACGAAAAATGCACAAGCGTAAACATATTAGTTAACAGCATATAGTTGGTAAGCACAGTGTACGTAACACTAGTCTGTACTCCGAAGCTATCCTCGGTGTATTGACGTAACATAATAACTCTTAAATCTACAATCCAAATATCATTTACCTACGTGACTAATAGCACATGACAGTAAATATAGCTTAAATTGTAAGTAATTCCTAAGTCCGCAAAATGCGCCTCGCGTGACCATTCCAATTATTCGTTAACCTTCTTGTGCGTGCGCTCTACCGAACCAGCTCGACGCGAAATACTGAAGGCGCTTCACCTACTTGGACCCAACTTATGTATGTCGGGATAGGGATTCGGCGAATATGATTGTTTCAGAACGATTTTACCAGCAAAGTCTTAAGGTGAAAAGTACTGGATGACCCGAAGACGCTAATCACGGATTTGCCATGATGCCGTTTGTGTCTCAGATGCAATGGTAACCGCTTCGTGGAAGTCCTTTATTGCTCCTTTCGTCCACCCCCAGAGAAAGAATCTCGCAAAGTAAAGGAAAAAAGCTTAATTCACAATACGGCCAGTGTTTTAGGGTGCATCATTGGCATACCCCAAAAAATATTAAAACGAGTATAGCAAGGCATTATCGCAAGCGCTCAGCTCTACCATCAAGTCACCGCGGCAAACAGGCTGCTGGGCTTTTATTTACAAATACAAAATTCGGTCGACAAACAGCTGTCGCAGTTATCATATCCATTACGTTACACCATGTGTGTTACTCTGAATACACTGAGTTAAACATTGTACAATACGTACCATCGCACGCTACCCAATTCTGAACGATTTAGTTTGGACGGCTGATTGGGGATTCATAATAAGTGGCTCCACTGAAAGCTCCTGGATTAAATTTGTTGGACTCTTCAACAATATCGTCGCATCTGGTTGGAAAACTCTGGTTTGGTTCCACGGATCTGTAACCGTCCAGTACAAGTAAAACTCAAAAAGCACCTTAATAAGATTAGCAGCTTGGCAAAGTTACAGAGCCACTTCTGTTCCCGGAATCTGGAGTGAATGAGCAAAGTAGCACAGCTCCTGTAACAACTTGTCCAGGAAGACAAACAGACTCAGTAACAAAATTGGCTGTGTAAAGTATCTAAAAATAAAATGCCCACACCTATATTTGTGTCAATACTATTTAGAAAGTGAAGCGAGCGTCCCCTACTAAATTTAATGGTCTAAATGACCTAGAGTACAGAAGAAGCAGCCTATACTCTCGAATATACTAGACCAAGACCCGCCGAAGAAGCAACACTCACTATTAATCGCCAACATCCATTGACCAATTCCATCACTTACTAACATTAACTTATTACCGCATCTGTGCTGAAGCAACCGCTCTTTCTACCAACCTACAGTTTGACCAGAAACAAGTATATTCACCCAAGTGTCCTGAAACTAACAACGACAAAGCTGGGATCACATTTTTGCTCATCTGCTTAAATAGGCAAACTGGACCCACCACGTAGGGACATAGTTTGATCACGCCTATTTTGCAAAATATTGTCTGGTCGAAAAACGTTAAATAACACCGTGCTTCTTTTCCTTGTTCACTGAAGATTCCTGAAGGTCATCCTCGCTGAGGCTTTAGAAGACCATCAAGAACGCTACAAAACCACAGCACCTAGTCATCACTGTTTCCTGCAAATGGTTCAAGCACAACCCATCTGCTGATTAAACGCAGTAGTTGTACGGAAGCTGTTGAGCAAAATTAGAGGACGGACAACCTTTACCGCAGCTTCTGCAAAAGTTTCGACGAGAGTACCACTGAGCTCTACCATACAGGCCAGAAAGTCATGAGATAGAGAACCTGCCTTAGGGTGAATCTTGAATTTTCTGCAGAATAGACAACGGCCAAGTAGAGTTCTAATTGCATACGCATTCCTTCCACGTCAAATGTGGCGTTGCACAAGCATTTGTTCTAGAGACGTGTAAAATACTTGTGTCCACTAAATAGCTTCCGCGTCTGATTGCCTTGAATTTCTTGTCTTTCGCCGCTGATCTCAAGAGATGGCTAGCGATTGCTAACAAATGAGGTTATACTAAGTTTAAGCATGACCTAGATATGGGTCGAGGATTGTCACTGCACATCTGCGTAGTATACTTTGTCCACTTTTAAGGATTTCAACATTTGTCACCAGTGAACGCAAATTTATGCTGGGGGATGTCAAGCATGCAGTCACTCGGGAGGGCTACCTTTGTGCACTACTTTAAGCTAAAATGGACCGCGCAGAAGCTGAAAGACTGTAAATCAGCAAGTAGACATGCTACAAGATGGCCTTCTGACGGTTTGATTAATATGTATAGCCGTATTTGCTTAAAACAAACATGCGGCCTTACGAAGTATACGCAACTTAGGTCTAGTAGTTTTGTACAAGCGAGGTCACCTAGCAATCGAGATTCCGCAGCGAAGAGCTAGGAATCAGGTTAAAATGTTCTTCGATCTTGCATTTGAATTATACTGAGGACCATAATACTGTGCAGCGCCCGGCATCAGCTCCTACGTGGCGACCTAATGAACGTCTATCCGATTTGGTGGAGACCCGGCTACTTACTACATCACCTATTTCAACCTAAGTAAAACAAATTTCGTAGGTCACCACATTATTTTGCCCAAGCAATACAATGATCTAGACTGTTGGCACAACGTTTGCTTTCTTCATGTCTACCAGGCATGGAACCCGCTACCAAATTACATTGTTTCCCAACTACCTTATAATGTGTAGCTTGAGTATGTTGACAGACGAGACAAGGTGATGACGTTTTCACAAACTGCGCCAACTTGTACAATTAAGGTGGCGCTTTTTTGCATGTAAGCACTATGGTAAGCGAAATAAAACGATTTTCTTTTATCACTGTTCTTGTTGCCCCAGTTTGTTGTCCTCATTCAGACTCACCTACAAGAGTTGTTGTGCACCCATTTTATTCCTGTTATCTCTTTGTTCTTTGCACTATTTTTTATCTATAATAATCCAGTCACGAAAGGCGGTGTATCGATATGTTCACACATCCGCATCCGAAGGACTGATGAAATATGACATGGAATTTTGTGGAAACATTAAGATACAGCCAAAGCTATAATTCCGAATAGAAGGAAAAATTACAACATTTGGCTTAGTACGCGCTTGACGTGCAGAAATCTTATCTAAATTGTTCTAAGTTGCAAGTAAATTTTATGATATTTGGTTTCCCTTATATGTCTGAGTCAATCAAAACGCAAATAGCGTATGCATGTCCAATATTTTAATAACCTGATTGCATTTTTACATGGTTTACTTCAATCATTTGCACATTACATGCTGCTCGAAATATGTTTTCAGCTGAGCTGCTTAATTATGACGTACGACTAAGCAAGTTTGTGTAACCTATCTTATATGTGGTGCGAAAAATAAAACTTTCGATAATATATATGCATTATAACGGCTCTAACGTAACCTATAAATGAACTTGATTTATCACCAGCATCCAATATGCGTGTTCAGACAAATGGAATTGCGCTGCTTAGATATTCTTTCTGATGCTTCCCAGAGACACCTCCGTAATAAGATATAACAGCGCCTCTAGTCAATGGTGTGCTTCATAATATGATGCTCTTTATAAGTAGTATGGCAGTAGATGTGAACAGCGTGTTTTGGTAGAGCTTTATTAGCCCACCTCGGAAGTTGAACGGACATGATGCTTTAGGGTCAGGCAGATGGTAGACATTGCTTTATCGGAAACTAAGCGCAAAATTTGATCACGTGCATTGCACTCACCTAGCTTCACATCTGAAAAGGGGAAAATTAATGAGATGCAAGCAGCAGTCTCCTGATGACCTACGTCACAAAATACACAAGATTCCCCAGATATTTGTATGCGATTTAACGAAATTTTAAGGTTTAGAGCTTTTTGGCATTTAAGGTTACATAAAGCAAAATATCATCTTTGCTTCAAGATTTAAACGCTATGGAAAGCATTCTTTTGTAAGAGCTATCCCCCGCTGTCCAATACACGTCTACAAATGTTTGATAACAGCAAGCTATTGTTTAGCATCCTTTTAATTGACGTTTTAATTTAACATATCGAAGAATAATGTTTAGCGTAATGGTATGTTCAGTTGTTTTGTACATACCTAGGGATAAGTAAAACGGCACCAAATATTAAAATTGGAGTAGCGTGTAAAGTGCCATATAATTCATTGTATGCGATTAAAGGAAATTTTAATATTTGCAGCCTTTGGGCTTAAAGTTTTACATCAAGCGAAATAAAAGTTTTGCTTTAAGATTTAAACGCTATGGAAAGCATTCTTTTGTAAGCGTTGTCCCCCGCTGTCCAATACACGTCTACAAATGTTTGATAACAGCTAGCTAATGTTTAGCATCCTTTTAATTGACGTTTTAATTTAACATATCGAAGGATAATGTTTGGCGTAATAGTATGTTTAGTCGTTTTGTACATACCTATGGGTAAGTAAAACGGCACCAAATATCAAAATTGGAGTTGCGTGTAAAGTGCCTGCTAATTTTATTCAAAGCATTACGTTTGGTTTGGTATAATAGCAACGTAGCAGACATTGCTACAAATTTACTGTTGCTTATCACAGAGGTAATAATCATATAATGAGGAGTAAATGCAATAAATCACTGCAACTGCTATCAATTATCAAAGAGCCCGGAATGTCCTTGTAAGCTAAAAGATTATATGCAGCATTTCGAAGCAGAAAATAAAATGTTTACAAATCTTTAGTTCATTGAATTTGTTCCAAGATTAATCAAGTTCATCTAAATAGAGATTCCAAGGGAAAACTTGCAAACATATGTATGGCGTAAATAAATGCATGTTGAAGCCTGTAATATTCTGCCAATCATATCTGGTAATCTTATTGTCCAATGTTGATTAAATCGCTTTAAATTATTCCAATAATTGCCGTAATATAACAGTAGGTTCAATGTGGGTTTGTTGCCGTCTAAACAATTAAATGTACTTAGCGCTGCTGCCTACCTGTATCACATTCCCAGCGAAATTGAATTTATTTGCAACTTGACTTGACAAGTTCTTCCCCTACTTAAATAGTAGCTTTCTTAGGAATGTTG